TTGTTGTTTGTTACTTTTAAAAAACAAAAAATATTTTTTCAATTAAATTTTTACTAATTTCACAACACCATCACCACTATTCTCACTTTCACTGTCACACTACCATCACCAGAGCCACTACCATCATCACTGTCGCCATCACCCCACCACTATGTAACAATTTCTACTTTCACCTTCGTTCCATCACCACCACCACCAAATATAAAAAAATATATTTTGAATTTTTTTTATAAAAAATATTTTCTATCTAAATAAATGAAGCATAACATTAGGAAACAAGCTGATTTTAGTTAAATCTGTTCATAACTAAGAAAAATTCTTTTAATTTAAAAAAAAATTATTTAGTAGACTTTGTATCCCCTTATTGTTGAGCCAAATAAAATAAAATAAGATTGAATGTATAGCTTTGGTTGTGAATCATAAAAAATAAAATAAAATAAAATAAAAAATAAAAAATGGTTGTGAACCTTAAAAAAAATTAAAAAAAAAAGAAAAATGATTAAATGTATATTTAGGTTTGGTTGTGAATCTTAAAAAAATAATAATAATAAATAAAATAAAATAAAATTGGTTGTGAACCTTAAAAAAAAATAAAAAAAAAAAAAAAAAAAATTATTAACATTAAATATATTAAAAAAAAAAAAAGATTGAAGGTATATTTAGCCTTCGGTGATGGGATTCTTTTTAAAAAAAAAATTTGATTGCTGAACTTGAAAAAAAAAAAATTGAATGTATATTAGTTTTGGTTGTCAATCTTAAAAATATATATATATATATATATGGGGAAATTAGTGGGTACCCATCCCCAACCCATCCCCTGTTAAAGAATATCACTTACCCTACCCAATGGATAAACAAAAGAGGAGAAAATCCATGTATTTGGGTTGGGTCTCCATGGATACCCATAGGGTAGGTTATCCATTGTCATCCCCAAGTTCGGATAATGTCCAACAATACTGCAGACCACTAACTTTTTACCACTAACACTACTACTAATGATATGACAAGTAAAAGTAAAAATAAAAAATAAAAACTAAGACACAAAACACATGTGACAATGGATGACCCACTGCCACATCCTAGTACAACCACTAATTAGTGATCTGCATTATTTTTCGATAATGTCCACTAAATAGTCAAATACAATTTCCTAGTTAGCAATATAAATAGCATCCATGTGGTAATTAGTCTTAAATAGGCTTGGCCCAAACTAATATAAACAGTTCCCCAAAGAAACTAAAAAGCCCAAGGCCAAGGCCAACCCACTAAAACATTGGGTTGGTCAATTCCCCCCACCCCCAAAAAAAAAAAATAAATAAAAAATAAAAAAAAAAATTCATGTTTCACATTGCATTACACAAGGGCTACATTAGACTGGATAATATGGATTGTAATGTAATAGATTGATAGTCTTAGGATATATAATTTTTGAATTATTTGGTTAAATATAATGTGTATAACATGTTTATTTTTTTATGGGATTAAATGTCTAAAAATGTCTATTTTAGTGACTCTCATGTTTGATTTGAAAATTATGAAATATATTGGTTAAATTGTTTACAATGTCAATATTTAATTTGAAGTATATTTTATTTTATTTAAAGTATGTTTTATTTATTTTATCTTTATTTGAAATATAATTTATTTATTTTATAATGACCACTTTAATTTTATTTAAATACAAAATTAGAAGTATGTTTTCATTTATGATTTTGTTATTACAAAAAATAAAAATAAAAATAAAAATAAAAATAAAAAGTAACAGAAGCCTATTATATATCATGAGTTTAATTTATACCTATTTAAAAAAAAAATTCAACATGTTTAAAAAAGATATTAGAAAAATGGCGAATTATACTAACATTCCCTATAGCTTGAGCTTGTGTCATTTTGGTCTCTAAACCTTCAATTATAATACATTTAATCTTGAATTTTAAATCTCGTTTCAAATAAGGATAATTGAAGACGTTGTTGCTCCATTTGAAGGGTAAAGTCGTCATACAACTTATTTTGTATTGGTTAAATTTTATATTATTTGAAATATAATGAGTTTTTTTTAATGAATAATGTTGAGACTTTTTTTGTTATGAAGTTCTGTTTAATTTGATTTTTAGAATCTATTTTTAAAAAAAATTCTAAGAAACTAAAAATTAAATTGGTAAAAAAAATTAAATATATTATTTTTATATAATTTTATCTTTTGGGGTGGGTAGAAATAAATTTTTTTGATATTTATTTTCGTTAAATTAGTTTTTATTTTTTTAAAAGTCAAATATGGCGATAATTTTAATGTCATTATTAAACCAATCTATTAAATTAAAAAATCAAAAACTAAAAACATTTAATATATTAAACATATCGATTATACATTAAAGCATGATAATCATCCATTATATGATAATCATCAAAAAATATCTGTCAACAACAAATGCAACCATCTATTACATGATAACCATCCAAAAATATCAACAAAAACAATCACCCATTACATTATCATCATCCAAACACATACTAAAAATTAATTTGGCAAAAAATTAAAAATAAAAATGTAAAAGATTTATCATTTTTATATAATTTTATCTTTGGTTAGTAGAAATAATTTTTAAAGATTTAAAAATAATTTTTTGACATTTATTTTTATCAAACTAGTTTATTTTATCAAATTGACATTTTTGTCCTTCAAATAGAGCAACAATGTTTTCAATTGTCCTTATTTAAAACGAGATTCAAAATTTAAGATCAAATGTATCATAATTGAAAGGACAGGGATCAAAGTGACACATGCCTCAAATTATAGGGACCGTTAATGTAATTCACTTTTAGAAAAATGAAAGAAATAAATTTTATATATACTTTAAGATTAATTTCATCATTTTTTATCCGAAAGTTGACTGAGTCTGCCAATTTCAATTCCACGCCTCCATAAGATTGAGTTATCCCATATATGAAGGGATTCTATCTCACACCTCCATAAGATTGAGTTATCCCATACGTGAAGGGATTATTAGTCTAACATGACGATTAATCCAGCCTTTACTTTTCTAACTAAATATTAAATTATTTAGGTCAAGTTTGGAAAGACTAAATAAGTGTACTTTTTAATTTTTTTTGTATTATGTGTAGAAAAAATAGAGAGAAGATGTTGATTGATGTGACCCAAAAAAGATAAAAAGATGAAATAAGTGCACTTTTTTGTTGTTAGCCAAACTTGGCCTACTCTGTTAGACATATAAATTATCCACTCTGTTAGACATATAGTTCAATCACATGCTCTAATGTCACCGAACAAACACTCCCAAACTGATGAAATCTATTCCTTCATTAAAAAAAAAAAAGAAAAAAAAAAAGAAGTAAAATGAAAATTTATTTATATTTAGTGGGGAGAAAAAATAAACAAAGAGTTTTTTCTATAATCAAATATTAGGGAAAAAAAAGGGGGCATAAAGAAAGATATTCACACTTCACATTCCATGAAATTTTGTCAAAAAGTCACTTGGGTACAAGGTTTTTAAGCCATTTTTTTGAGTTTGTAACAAAAGTCAAAAGTTAGCTTTTTTATATTTAAAGACATTTGAAAAGTTGGTTTTTAAGTGAAATTACAATTTTATCCCTCATGGATCAAAATATGTTGCATGGATGAAATTGTAAATATTTTAAATTGAATGTAGGTAGTTTAGTGATATTATAAACAAATATTAATAAAAAAAGTCAAAATTTTTTTTTTACCAACTTCCCAAATCATTTGTCTAAAAAAATCAAAAACTTAGTTAAAAACCAAAAAATCACTTCTTACCATCTTCCCAAAATAACCCTTTGTGGTTGCATAATAGTTTATTTTTGGGATAATTATATAAAAAATTTCAAAGTTTTAACTCTAGTAATTAAATAAATTCTAAATTTTAATTTTATCAATTTTAATTTAAAATTTTATTTTATTTTTAATTTAAATCATTTATCTATTTTCGTTAAAGAAAACTAATAAAAAAATTAAACAAAATACAGGTATATATAAAATATTCAAAATATTTTTTTTTATTAATTTTACTTAACGAAAATAAATCAAATTATTAGAATTTAAAAAATTTATATTTCAAGGTTTGTTTTACCACAATAGTCAAATCTTAAGATTTTTTTTTTTTTTGTAATTTTTTGTTTATTTTTCTACTGCGCAAAAATCTTCTTCTAAAGTGGTATCTTCTATTAATTACAAATATACATGTGTCTGATTATCTCACAAATACTTAATATAAATATAAAGAGTTATATTAGGAATCTTAAATAAATTATCAAAATTTTTACTAACATAGGTGTGAGACCCACCTATATATGATTTGTGAGGGTTGCACACCCACATAGATGGTGTTTGGGAAGTGAATTTTTATGTAAGTTTTTTTAGATGTAGGATATTATTGAAGAAAAAAAAATTATGTTTGAGAAGATAGTTGAATTTTTTTGTAATTGGATGTGATGTTTGTGAGAGAAAAAGTAAAATGATTATGGGATTGGATGTGATATTTTGTTTGAATGTATTTTTTTTGGTTTTGCAAAATTTTTGTCTTTTAATGGAAAAAATAAGAAAAAACCCAACTACAATTCTTCCCAAACACCACAGAGATTTGCTAAAAAATTTAGAATTTATAGTATTGGCCTAAATATAGTGGTGTTTTGAAAAGTTAATAAAAAATTTGACTTTTTGACAATTTTTTTACTTTTTAATGACTTTTTTAACTAAAAAACTAACTTTTTTTTTTTTTAATGTAAAAAAATTAAAAAGTCAAAAAAATAATTTTTTTATCAAATTGTGAAATAACCTCATAATAGACCCTACAATCAATCTAATCGTATCAAAAATTCCTCCATAATTACAATAGGTAACAAATCATACAAATTTAAATTAAGAAAACAACTCTGGTCTCTTAGGGAGAATCGAACCCTTAACCTCTCGCCACTCCACGCCCAGTGGTCATTTGTTTGAATGCCTTTTCTCGAACCTTCCGCATTTCTTCTGATCCTTCTGGACAAGTCTCTTCTCTCTCTCTCAATCAAAATGGTCATAGAAAACCACGCGAAGAATAGACTTCAACAACACACAAGACTACTATGCGAGCCACTAATAGCAATTGAGGAAGCTTGATAATCATCATCATCAGAAGAGAGAGAAAGAGAAAGAGAAGTGAACTCAGAGGAGGAGAAAAGATGGGGGTGGATTACTACAAGATATTAAACGTTGATAGAAACGCAAAAGATGATGATTTGAAAAAAGCTTATAGAAAGCTTGCCATGAAGTGGCACCCTGATAAGAACCCTAACAACAAGAAAGAAGCTGAGGCCAAATTCAAGCAGATCTCTGAAGCTTATGAGGTCGGTCTAATCGTAATAATAAATACCCATCTCTCTCTCTCTCTTTCTCTCTCTGTTAATGAATTATTTCATGATCTCTGAGACCCATGATTTTTGTTTTACAATATTTTTTTTTTTTATTTGTTTTTAATTTTTTGCAGGTTCTGAGCGATCCTCAGAAAAGAGCAGTGTATGATCAGTATGGAGAAGAGGGGCTGAAGGGACAGGTTCCACCGCCGGACGCAGGAGGACCCGGCGGAGCCACCTTTTTCTCGACTGGTGGCGGTGGGCCGACATCATTCAGATTCACACCCAGAAACGCTGATGACATATTCGCAGAGTTTTTCGGGTCTTCGAGCCCGTTTGGAGGTATGGGTGGTGGGTCCAGGTTTGGGAGCCTATTCGGCGATGATTTCTTTGGTTCTTTCGGTGAAGGGGGAGGCGGCGGCGGCGGCTTTGGATTCATGAATCAAACTGGACCTCGAAAAGCTCCTCCAATTGAGAGAACTCTGCCTTGCACCCTTGAAGAGCTCTACAACGGCACTACCAAGAAGATGAAGATCTCCAGAGAAATTGCTGATGCCAGTGGGTAAGTACTAACCAGTAACCATTATATATATATATAAGAAAAGTTAGGAATCCTGAAAATGATCGTGAATTTATGATTCTTGGATTAGCTGATTAATGTGTGATGATTTATTTTAAGGGTAATCTAAGAATTACAGAACTTTTATGATTATTTTTGTAAAAGATTTTTTTATGATAATATATACACATATTTCTATCCAAATTTCCATTATTGAAATAATCTAGTAATGTTTATCATATTTAGCATATACATATTTTGTTCATGAAGTAATGAACTTATTGATAGAGCTTGGATTTTTTTAATGGGAATATTAACCTAAGTTATTGGTTTATGTTGGGTCAGTGAATAAAATTGTACTCAATTGGGTGGGTGGGTGTGTGTTTGGATTTGGATGTTTAAAATAGGACAATGCGATCTTGACATATAGGAAGATAAAATAATCAGACAAGATCGTATGCTCTTTATTTTCTTGGATGGTAACAGCTACTTGTGCAAGAACATTATTTGTAGGACCAACAATGTTACAGAAAATACAATCATTGGTGCCACAAGGAATATTTCGATTACCTCTTTCCACATCTAGATTAGGGTTAATAAAACATTGGTTTGTTTTGTACATATTATATAGAAATTGGTATAGCAAGTTTCTGATTTTCGATGTCTAGTTTGCTGCTTGTTAACTTCCAATTAATTTTTCTATGGATGCAGAAAGACTATGCCAGTAGAGGAGATCCTAACAATCAACATCAAGCCCGGTTGGAAAAAAGGTACCAAAATCACGTTCCCGGAGAAAGGAAATGAGCAGCCAAACGTTATACCATCCGACCTCGTCTTCACCATTGACGAGAAACCTCACAGCGTGTTCACTCGTGACGGAAATGATTTGGTCACCACACAAAAGATACCTTTGGCTGAAGCCTTGACAGGTCTCACTGTAAATCTAACTACCTTGGATGGCCGGAATTTAACCATCCCAATCAACAATGTGATTCATCCAAATTATGAGGAGGTAGTCCCGAGGGAAGGAATGCCAATCCCTAAAGATCCAACGAAGAAGGGAAACCTGAGAATCAAATTCGACACCAAGTTCCCGACAAAGCTGACTGCAGAGCAGAAGGCTGGAGTCAAGAACCTATTGCCTGCTTGAAATTCCGGTTGTTTTCGGAGATGAAGGAAGCTGTTTTGTGAATACTGTATACACACCTATTGTGGGATTGAGGGTCTTATTAACTATTTTCCAATTCATTTTCTAGAGAACAGTTTTGGAGTTTGTTTTGTTTGGAACGTGGTAAAATGAGTGAGTAAGTTAAATTTGTGGTTTAAGGCCAAGTTTGACATCCTTAAAATAATCTATCTTTTTATTTTTTTTTCATCACATCACCTCTCTATTTTTCTGCATATCTTTTCGTAAAAAGATAAAAAGTATACTTATTTAACTCATCCCAAACAACTCTTAAATCTCTTTTTGATCATGTTTTGAAATATTTTAGTGACTTTCATTTCTATAATATATAGCTTCAATTTAAGAATGATGATTGGGGGTGTTAAGATAGTAAATGAGGTTGGCATATCAAGTGAAAGGGGCCTACAACAGTAGTCTCCTTGTGCAATTCTAACTATTTTCTTTTTTCTACATATGACAAATAAGCTGCATTTTGGGAAGGGAGGAACCAGAAACAGGATTCAATATTCAGGGGTTGGATTTAGAAGGTTCTAAAACTGAAATATGTAATACTATTATCTGCAACTGCAATTCATGTAAAGGCCTCTCTTCCATCCATCCATCCATCCATCTGCAGGAGGCAGCAGAAGGTTGTGTTATATCTATCCATCTGCAAGCACCACAAAATAGGGTCAAATTCCCAGAAGGTTACCAAAGCTTTCCCCTAGAAAAGCAACCAATTCATACATGTACCCATATCATCATCTGTGGCTGTACCCTTTCTTCCGCTCCTTTCTTTGATGAGAAACAAAACATGGACACAAGCTAGCTAGCTAGTAGAAGAAGACTGATTAGAAAGATCCAACCCCCCTCTAATAAAGGTAAAAACAAGAATTTAACCCCACAAATATATATAATATTTTACATATGCAGGAATTGAAGTGGCTATTCACCACCAATAATAATCTATTTATTATTGTTGCATAACATGGTATTTTTACAATTTGACCCATGATCAGAGTTTAATTTAACATCAGAGACTACTATTACTAATTCAAAAATAACCCTAATAGCATATTAAAGGTGCTCCGTGCACCTGCAATAACTATTGATTTGAACCCTCTATAAATACACAGAAAGTTGACAAAGGACAGTGCTAACAGCTTTCTAACCAAAAAAATAATCCAAACCTAATCATCATAAGATATATATGTTGTACATCCAGTACAGATCTCTCCATATGAGTATTGTTATTCGTCACTATATTCTGAAGATGTGGATCCCGTACCTTCACCTTCATCCGTGTTACCAATTTGCTCTCCACCACCATCTCTATTCTCCTCCTCACCTTCATCTGACTCATCATTGATATATCTTTCAACATCCGTGTCTCCTTGTCCATCTTCCTCACTATCATCTCCCTCGTCCTCATCTCCATCTCCATCTGCATCTGCATCGTCATCCCCCTCCTCCTGAGCACGATCATCATCGTCTTCCTCGCCGTCTAAATTGTAATCAATACCCTCCATTAGGTGCATTGACTTGCCATTGAAGACACTAGAATAGTCATCCACCATCAGATCATCATCGTATTCATCCTCTGCCATCGCTTGCCGATTATAATCTTCATACTCTGATCTTTCAGAACTGCTAGCATTTTCAGCACCCAACAGTGGAGTCCCCGTGGGTTCTTCCCTATTCCACTGCAGATCTGAACTCCTAACAGTGTTCTCAAAGAGAACCTCTTTTGGTTGATCTCTCTCACTGCCAATCTCGGCCACTCTCTTCACTGGTTTTTGTCTGCTCCTAGCAGTTCGACGACCCCGCTTACGCCCACCTCGTCCACGCGATCGCCCTTTCCACCCTAGCAACTGTCCAAATCTCTCACTATTTGTTGTGGTACTTCTCTGAGCATTCACAGATCTGGAACTGATGGCTCTTCTCTGAGATCTCCCACCACGGGTACGACCACCACGGCCTCGCCCACGTGCCCCTCGTCCCCGTCCTGAGCTCGAGTGAAGACTCCCATGGTCAGCCCAAGGTTCTTGTAGGAGATTTTCAGTTTCGAGTGGAGCTTGTGCCAGATCATACTCTGGGACATTCTTTACAAGAGAAAATTTTGATGGGGGCATCTGAATGGAGACAGAAATGGCAAGGACGTTAATTGAAAACAATTCAGTCAATCGGGGGGGAAAAAAATACCAGGCTTCGAAGACTAGTCATATATACCAGGCTTAGAAGACATTGGGTACTCGATTTCCATTTGAGTACTTTTCTATTGTTTTTCCAAGACTACTTTTCTATATATATATATGTAGTGTAAAATAAGTTGCAAGAAGCTTTGAAATTTCATTTCGCCTAAAAATTTCCTGGATGGAAATCTAGACGGACCATAAATTACCAACCTCAAAAATGCGTGTTAATGATATTAAAACAATTAATCAAAGAATTTGTTCCACTTCCACTGACTGAAAACAAAAGAAATAATCTTCCAATTATAACCATAATTTGAAACTTGCAGCAATTAATTTCTTGTCAGCATCTGTTTGAAAGAACAAAAAAGTACAGAGTCAAACTAACTTTGGTCACAAAAGATACTTGCAAATGCACAATATCTCAATAGAAATTTTATGTCTCAAGGAGAGGTGACACCAAATGATTTACCTTTGCCTTGCTCACAAAACTCAAGCAACAGGATTGGAGCATTCCAAGCATGCATCTAAATTTATGATTTCCAATATATAAAAAAAAATGAAAAAAACCAAAAAATGCACATATCCAGAGGTGTTCAAAGATAGTCAGTCATAGGGAGGATTAACATCATTATGGCAATTCCCCTAGCTGAAAAAAAGGTTGCTTTTTTTTTTCCAAATCATTTCTCTGGTCTGCGAAATGAAGTATTTGATTCTTAACACAATCATAATACTCACAATGAAATCCCCAGCTCCTTTGTCCTTTTGAGAATCGATTTTTTTCTGGTGCAGCTCGTAATAAATGGATGCATCAAGTTCCATGAGCCTTAGTGCAACGGCAGATGATGTTTGAGGTACCCAAGGAAGCACAGAAACCAATTCCGAATTGAGGGAAACATTAGCAGCAAACTCTGTTTGGTTACAGGACCCCAATAACTCATTGGTTGTCTCAAAATTCGAAGATAAAAAGTCCTTCTTTATGCCAACCTCTAACAAAGTCAGAATCTGGACAAGGAAAAACAAGTATACATTAATTTGTCACTCCCATAAAGGCTTCACAAAAACAAAAGCGAAAAAGGAAGAAACCTGCAGAAAACCTAGCATTCCGATTAGAGTTGCATAAATGGACAAAAAAAAGTAGTAAAAAAGTACACATCCAAGAAAAGAGATTGTACAAGGCCAAAACCAGACAAATATCAAAGCAAGCAGGTTGGGAAAGAAAAAGAGGAGCATCAATTGCTCCCTCCCCCCGTACGCGTGTATGTGTGTGCATGCCCACCATTTTGTGGATGCTCAATGGCAAGACCTAACATAGTCCTCTTTTTCAACAGGAAATTAATAGGCCCTGTTTGGTAGAGTTTTGAAACGATAGTTCCAGGCTTTGATTTGCACACCGTGTTTGTTTACGGTTTTCAAAAATTAATTCCACACTCACTTTTGAAAACTCTGTCAAATTTGGGCTAACCAGTCGTCCTATCAGACGTCCGGCCGGTTAACCGGAACAATGCATTTTTTTTTTTAATTTTTAATTGACACATGTTAATTTTTATATATTCAATAAAAAATATTTTCTGAATTTTTTTAAATTTTTTATGAGCTTTGAATAGAATTTTGAATTGTGTGTTTAGTTATGAGTTGTAAATTTTTGTATCAAATATCATATGTCACCCCACTCAATTCCATACTCTTTTCAAAACTTATTCACCAAACAAATTTTCTACACTCAAATCATAATTCCAAATCTCACAAACTCAAAATACAATGCTATTCTAAAATCATATTTAGAAAACTCTATCAAACGCAACCATAGTTTTTCTTAGCACTGCCACCTAGGACATTTCATCATCTTGTACAAACGATTAGAACAAATTTCTTATTTAGAAATAACATGATGATAAGATAACACCTTGGCAAATAAAAAAAATCCTGTACCATAAAACCACCACTCCTTATCCAGCTCATTGGGATTGGATTACAATGGGGAAAAAAGAGTCTAATACACTTGCAGGTAATTACTCATTCATGCTTTCATAATAACTCCATTTCATAACCCAAGTTAAATAAACAGTGTAAATTCAAAAACTGCACGCAGAAACAAGTCAAATAAAAGAACACCCAAACATCATTCAAAAGACAAACATGTAGAAAGAGATGAAGGGGACTGCACAGAGAGATAGAGAGACCTGAAGAAGTTCTTCAGCTGAAGTTACGGTGTGCAGCTTCATACCCCATGATCTTCGATAGCCCTCTGACCAAGCAGGTTGAAGAGCTTCTATAGGAATAGAAACCTGCCAAACCAATATGTGAACATGCTATGTAATGAACAAAGCAATTATAAATTATGAAGAAGCAACAAATATATTCAAAACTTACAACCAGAATAAAAATAAGAGTCTGTTACAAACAATTTCTTCAAGAAAATATGTTAATAGACTTGCCTCTATCAATGCTAATAGCGCTTTGTGTAATCTGATCCTCAAAGGAGGAGAAGGGTCCAAACCCTGTGAAGTCCAGCAGGGGTCCCCCTTAAATTTCTCTTTGCATTTAGCCACATGTTCGGAAAAATTTATGTCTCTGATGGAAGTTTCGTAAGTCCTATGGCAAGAAGGACAATGGTCATCCTCAAAATAGTACACATCACGGCAGTCACAAACGTCCAGTAGCTGTCTGCATCTTTTCTTTCCATACTTAACAGCATATAATACTGAAGAATTAAGGCACTCTTCCCACATCCATTTCTCGAAATCTTGGTATCTCTTCAAGGCATCCTTTTTCTCTGTTTCATTCCTTCCAAGCCCAATTGAAAAAGATGACGAAGGTTCTGGCATATCAGAATTTGAAACATAAACAGTGCAGGAAGGACTATCTGAACTGGCACTACAATCAAGGCTATAAGCCATTCCAGAAACTTCTGTTTTGAAATTATTTATTGGTCTTCCAGCCTTAGTGTGTGCCAAGTTCCTCCTCAGAGTTTCCTTGAAAGACACTTCAACCTTCTGCAACATTGAGTGCAAATTGGATTCCCTTAGCCCACGGACATCCAAAGATGCCAACAGAGCATCAAAACCCTGCATGTAGATTAATGGTAAGATTTAATTAAAAAAAATGTGCAAACCAAAGAATACATTCATAAGTTACAAGAATTTGAACATTATGCTTTCATTTGGCCCCCATTTTCAGGACATACTAGAATTAAAATTCAACAAGTACAGCATGCCTGTAAGTCACCAAATTTTGCAGTATTGTAATACTTTTTTTTTCTCGTGACAAAAGAGAAGCCAACCACGTACCCACTAGTCCTATAAGCCGCAGGAAAGCCTCGTAATCCTCTAGAGAGATTGAGAAAAAAAAAAAGAAAAAGAAAAAAGTAACACAACAGCGGATGTCAAAGAACAAAGAATAAACACCAATTACTGCATGCAATCCTTTCCAAGTAGGAACTCTTGAAGAAATTTTAATAAAAAATAAGACCATGAAAACCTTTTTTTACCCAAAGAAAAGGGGCACAAAAACAAGGAGTAGCTGCTGCTAAACAAGAAAATAACAATTGGCACTAATATTATATGCATAACATACGCTCAGATCTAGCATAACAACAACTAAGAAAATAATGCATAACTAAATAATAACACTACCTCTTCAGAATCAATAAGCCTCCAACAGCCATGACGTAACTCAACGAAAATCCTGCCAGACCCAGGATCATTTCGAGAAGAAGACGTTATAAACTGCCAGTAACGGTTCCGTCTGCGATCTTGCCCAAGAGGCAAGGACCGGTATACATACATCTCTTCTGCCTTATGACCAATATAAGCTTTTAACTGAGACCGTGACCTTTCAGCAGCATATCCAGGTTGCAGGAGTGAAAGATTATCTGTGCATGTAGAGGCCTCTTGTATTGGTGGGTTCCGTTCGGTGGGCATATGAATAGTGTAGTTCTGATCATTCTGTGCATCATGAAGGTGCTCTTTCTGTTCTACAGGATTTGTTGATACCAAACCATTTTTGTCGTCAACAGTAGGCAATGGGCTTTGCCTGCCCTCAACAGAAGAAATTTGAACATTTGGTTCAGTCTTGTCACTGATGTGAGATGGATACTGCATCTTCATCACATACTCCTCTTTCATTCGGCGTTTATCAAGTTGTACCTCTGCCCACATTTGCTTCTTTAGAGCATTTGCGGCTTCCAAACGTTCCTGAAAAACTCCCACATTTCGTATCACAGACATGCAAAATCAGAAAATAATAATAATAAATACCTTAAGAGAATACACAATATTACCTCTAGAATAATGCGAATTGAGTTTCCTTCATTCGCAATGCCAATTAAAGCAACAAGGGCACTAAGGCGTTCCTCAACACTCAGATCAGAATACTCGCCTTCCATAAGTCCTTGAACCCATGGTTCACCAGAGTTACTTTCATCAATAACCGTGTCTTCTTGATCAAGAGTAGCTGCCTCATTGCAGATTCCAGCAACATCAATAGATTGATCAACAGAAGCACCAATGCTTTTTACCTCCTTGTACCCTTCAGACTGCATCAAAGGTGAACTATCACCCAAATTCTTAACACCAACTTCTGGAGTTTCCATAACCTCATCACAGTAGGTGTCCTTTCCATCTGCAGGTAAAGTTTTTGCTAGATATCTGTTTGCTTCACAAGATAGAGCTTCATTGTTTGGCTTCAGCTCAGTACCTAAATCATCAGCCTCTGGATCCTCAGCTATGTCACTTTCTGAATCTTCATCTCTTTCAACATCATCAGGTTCTACATCCTCTGCATCTTCTCCATCAAGATATCCATTTTTAAATATCTGAATTTTTTCCCTGGCTGCAGAAAGGATTGCCTCGGTATCAACAGGATCCTTCCTATAGGGGGTACGCACACAATATGTTGAAGGAGCTGTTCTTTCAAAAAGTTTTGAATCCCTTGACAATGCAGCAGCAATAGATGCTTCAGGTGTCTTGCTTGTTGTGAGGTCCCGAAGACCAGATTTCTTACATGAGAAAAAATAAACATTAAATAAGCTGAAGGGATAACAGGCAATGCAACGATCACAAAATACTAATCTTTGATTACCTGAATCTTTTCTGCAACTTCTAATATTGTTAGGCCATTACTTCCTTCAAGAGAAAGAACATGAAATGCAGCAAATTTGACTGTTCCAGGAGTCAGCCGATGCCTAGATCTTCTTGGATTAGAAAAACCCCTTTCTTGCATTATGGCAAGAGCATTTTCAGCTGCGGCTCCATTGCGTAAATTAGAAATTATATCTTCACCATCATTACCCTGCATCACCCAAAAACCACACTTTAAAATAAGCTGCAATAAGCAATTTACAGAAGCATACAACAGGGTATATCAACAAATGATGTTCTTTTTTCTTTTTCTTTTTTGTGCAGTATAGCGATGTAATATTCTACCAAAAACTAGTCATTAAGAGGAAACAAGAAACTGAGTATTATTTGTAACCAACAAGAAGGTTGACTGAATTTTAACCTAAGCAAGTGGCCAACAGCTTTTCAGGAAAATTGATTCAAATCTTCCAACGAACTAGAGAGAGAACCAAGGAATGCAAGGAAAACAGAAGTGAGGTTAATCTGCCCCATAAAGGAGGAGGTACTGAGCTCAGGACAAGGAATGCAAGCACAAAAAACGGGAGTGAGATTAATCTGATGACGTCACATTCATGCTGATCTTGAGCTGGCCAAGTCCTCCAGGTCTTGGTGACAGGCCTTCATATAATATTTGTTTGCAACAATTTATATATGCTTCTGCTGAATTATACCAAAACCTGTCTTCAATTCATGATGCATTTACGAAAGTAGCAAATAAACTGCAAAACTTGGTAGTGCAATTACAAAAGTTGGCCCAGATGAAATTCTATCGTGTTTGCAAGCACAAGAAGTAATGACTTCCAAAAGATGATGTACCCCATCAACCATAATAAAGTAAATATTAGTCCTCTTTATTATAGAAGTTGAAAATATACGTGAATCAGAATCATTGGAAGAGAAGCAACCAAGCAGTTGAAACCAGGCTATTAAATGGTATAACATACAAATAACCAATATGATATGATCGGTTTTGTATTTTGTCTAAACCATGGCAACCAACTTCTGAGAAAATTGTTAAATGGAAAAAGATTCTACCTCATTTTCATCACGAAGATATGCTTGTTCAATACTCCTTTTCTTCAATTTTGGCCCAAATCCAGCAGATAGAGCAAATTGTCGCAATATCTCAGGCCAGGTCAATGGATTTAAGTGGCGCTGCCAGCTGCGTATATCAAAGCCCCACGCATAGGCCTGAAAGTAAAACAAAGGAATCAAAAGTATTTCAGAATGGATAAACACAAAATCAAGCCACAATTGACAACAAGATCGAAGCAGCAACAAAAACCAACCACAGAACAAAGCCTACCCCTTCAACAATCTGTGGATGGCCACCTCCAGGATTGGCAGCAGTATTTTGATTTACTCCCAGCCCAGTCGAAGAGGGTGTCCTTGCTACATCCTCAATATCTTTAATTATGGATCTTAGAAGAGCTAGATGAATCTCCCCTAACAACCTTGGATCCTGAAAATAGTAGGGAGCAGCTAGAACAATAAGATGAGAGTAAGGATAAAACAAATAGTCTAAAGGCAAAATTAAACACAAGGATCTCAAGAACTTACATAATCATGAAAAGCTTGAACAAATTCATCCAGAGTAAATGGCCAAAGCCCCAAAACGTCAGCAAAATTTATTAAAAATCTCCAGACCTAAAAATCAATTCACAGGTAAACACATTAGAATGACCACAATACATCCATAAGCATCACCACTAGATCTAGTCCATATGTTGCTTGAAAAAATTGTAGTTCATTACGTTCAACTTGTTAAAAAATGTTCATATGTATGCCTTCCACATACGTAACAATAAGGACTTTCATTATAACCACATGTTAACTTTTTTTTACAATAAAGAATTGTTTTGCAGTCACAAGGAAAAATTTGGTTATTCTTTCATTCAAGCTTGATGAAGCCACTATTGACAAGTTCCTTGGCATTCTGTTACATGGACTCTTCAAAGCACTTGTGTTGGACACTTGACACTTGGTTAAGGGTATATGTTATGTATCCAATACTTCTCATCAGATATTGCTTAGCAAGCATAAAAATCAATTCAATTTTGTTATAAAATTGTATTTAACAATATTATTATATGCATTTTTTGTTGCATGATTGCTATAAAATGAATAAATTGCTAAAATTTATGAAAGAAGTGGATTAACTGTTCAATTTGCCATCGATGAATTCAATACAAATCTTATGATCTTGCAGATTTTAACCTATCTAAACATTCAACCCACACAACAGTTCCAAGAAAGAAAAACAATAGACAAGGCAAAATGTCCAATTAATATGCTTCTGAAAGAATTAGAAAACCAAATAGCAGTTGTACTCAGCAACATTTCCATCTCAACAAACTCCAGCAACATTTTCATCTCAACAAAACAACTTTCCAATATAGAAAAAAAAACGAAATATAAAAGAACAAAAGAAATTAGTTAATCTCACCATTAAAAGATTCCCAATGTTCTCCTCAGAATCAGTCCATGGCTGAATAGAAAAAGGCCTTCTCAAGTGCACAGACTTGGGTGGGAATTCAACGAGCTTATCTGAAGCATTACAAGTTTGTCAGCAGCCAAGAAGATTACATATGCAATTATGCATATAAAGAAATAGTAACCAAAAGGCAGAAGATTGGAACAGTCAGACACTATAACTCATCATCATAAGAATGAAGTCAGAGGGGCAGATGATCATCGTCATAAGAATAAAGTCTGAGGGGCAGATGAGATGGTAGCAAGTGAACAAGGAATCAATCCAAAAAAAGCTAAGAAGCAAAAAAAAAAAAAAAAAAAAAAAAAAAAAAACCCAGAGGGACTTATCTCATTTGTTGCGTGCTGAATGTGAGTCATAGGGATTGCACATGCCTAAACATTAGTTGGGTGAGCTTTCTATCAAGGTTGTCACCCAATTAGTACTATTTCAATCAAAACACTACCCTTTCGGGGATTCAGAAACATATCCCCTTATGATGGAAATAAATACATGTATATATATTTGTTGTTCAAAACTTAACAAGAAAGAATGCCAAAACTGATGTATGCAGTCCACATACACATGATATGTTGAAAGGCAAACAATTTATAATTAAATGTATGAACATTGCAATTGTCGGATCAGAGATATAGGCCTTGTTTGGTTTGTTTCTCAGAAAAAATTCTCTACAAACAAATTTTTAAGAGTAATCAAATCAAACAAATTTTTCCAAAAAAAATCTCAAAATTTTGTTTGGTTACCTACTTTTCAAAATCACTCTGTCTTTCATACACATCAAATCAATCACTTTTTTTTAAAACTCTCTCCCTAAAACAATTTTCCAAAACTATTTCTGAAAAAAGACAAACCAAACAAGTTTTCGTACTTTTTATCTCAAAAACTACTCTACAAACACAAACCAAGCACACCCATACTATTTCAAGCTTTTCTAACTACTACATGTTTCCAAGAACACAGTAAGAAATTAATGTTTAAATAAAGGCTGTTTGCCTCAATGGTACTACTATTTCAAGATATAAGTATCTAAATACTGTAACAATACAAAGCTTAGACGAAGCATGGGTACGGGTACGAGTACTGGTACTAGTACGATATGAGTATGTCGATACGGTAAAATTCAAAAAAATAAGGGTACGGGTATGTCTTGGTACGCTTGTAAAAAAATATTTATTTTTAATTTAGACTTATGCAAAAATTAATTAAATGGTTTAATTTGTTAAGGTCCAACCTACAATTAACATTTAATATCAAAAGCAAAAGTATAAATCAAAATTAAATGTCAATATATTAAATAACTTACAAACCATAGTTAAATTTTAAAATCATGCTAAGCATAAAACAAAAAATAAAAAAAATAAAAAATCTAGTGAAAGGAGTTTTATCTCTATAGTAGAAGAAAATATTATTTCAACTGAGTTACGGTACGGCTTAGGTATATACTAGGTATGTCTGGGTACGCCAAAAATTAAAAAGAAAAATTTTGGATACTTGTTTCATGTATCCGGTACGTATGCAGAAGTACCATACGAGGTATCATATGCTAGTAAGTATCCGGTACGGGTACGGCATATTTTTCGAAGTACCCATGCTTCATAAGTTAGACCCTGTTTGGGTGTTGTGCTGCATTTAGTTTGAAAGTACTCTAAAGTGCCTCATGACATGTTTGGTTACATCTTCAAAGTAGTTTTAGAGGCTTGTTGCTAGAAAGTACTTTCTGACAATGCACTAATCAAGGTTCTTCTAAAGATAAGAGGAAGTTAAAAGCTCTTCTTAGGTACAGTAACTAAACAGTAGCAAACCTCCCTAGGGAAATCTCCTCTCTACAAATCTCTTAATTTAAAACCCCTTTATTGGAAGCCACCACAATATGGAGCCTTAATCAGCACTGATAGATTTAGAAACAATGATATTGCTAGATTACATTTTCAAGCATTTTTTAATTTCTATTACTACATTTGTTGCTTTTTTAGTATAACAACATGCTACGTGGCTGATTCAAAATCTCAATCAAAACCAAAATCAAAATCAAACGGCAGGTGCATGGCACGCACCAAACATGCCACCTAAATTGTTTCAAAGAGGGACACAGGACAATTAAGTTCATACTATCATAAGTAATGCAAATGCATGCTTTTTAACAATTGAAATAACAAGTTCATTAGAAATAGATAAACCAAAATAATATATGAGGTATGTCAAATACAAGTACCTCTATATAATTCAAGATTTTGCAAAGTTTCACTGTCGAGAGACAAGATTGAAGGCAAACCCCTGCTGGAAGCCGCCAACTCCATGAGCTCCAGCCGTTCATCCTCAATAAGTTCCATGGATTCTTTGGCAATTCTGCGAGCAGTAGCCCTGTCATTAGCAGCTTTCTGCCTTGCTGCCTCCTTCTCCCTACGCAGTTCTTCTTTTAATCTCATTTTCTCAGCCTGAGGAAAAGAAATGATTAGCTCAACTGTCTTTCTAAGCAAACACAACTCCAAAAAGCACACAGTACTATGTTTCAAACTTACTCTGATAGATTCTTTCTGCAAAAACTTCTCTCGGCGTTCCATCTCACGTTTTTGCTCCCTCTGGTATCTCTCCTCTTCACGCTGCTTTTCACGCAGCAGCCTTTCTTCTTCCTTGCGCCTCTCACGGTCCTGCCTCTCCATTTCTTTTCTCATTTGTTCTTCTCTCTTCAAATACAAGACTGATAAAATTAGACTACAAACAAGAAGCTTCAGAGAAGAGAACTTATGATTTAAAAGTGCAAGACCTTCCGCCTCAAAATATCTTGTTTCTCAAGCTCCTTACGAATCCTTTTCTCATGTGCTTCAACTTCCTTTGCTATTCTTGCCTCTTCACTCTGCAGATATAACTAAAAACGAATGACAAACTGATTTTTGTTTCTATTGAAGAAATAAAACATAGTGGCAAGTAGGACACCTTGCGTTTCCTCTCTATCCGAGAAATGTCCTCTTCATGTGTGGTGACCCGTCTGTCAGATGGGATAAATGGATTTTCCAGTCCGGTTATTGGGTGAGCACCAAAATGAGCATCTGTACCAATGTTTGCAACAGAGTTTTTTCGTGGCACAATGTCATACTCTCCTGAAGTTGAAGGCAATGGATGGCCTTGCCGGCCTTGATGAGGCAAAAGACTCAAATTTGGCATCTGACCTTGAAAACCATATCCTGAGGGCACTTGCTCATTTCCATGCATGAATGAGCGCCCAGTAGGTAATGCACTTCTGCCACTAGGAACATCAGTTGGTGAACTGAAGTAGTGAGATGAAGCAGCTCTTTCATATGTATCATTTCTAACAGATGGCTGCTCTGGCAGAAACTGGTATTCATGGAGTGCCCTCGCAGCACCCTGAGGAGAAATATACATAAATAAATAAAAATTAGCCATTAATTTTGCTTGTTTGCAAGTAACAAAATTGGCCACAACAAAAAAAATTCACCCAAAAGTTGTGTCAAAACAAAGTAATGTCACTGTTAACAAGTTCCATAAAGCAGACCAATTATAGTCATGCACAACAAAGAAAATCAAAAAGGGGAAAAATTACCTAGTCCAGATATGGAAGGGGCTGAGAATGCTGGTAGAGTGGTGATAGGAATGAGCGAATAGGAGAAGGGAACCAAGAATAATAAAGAGAAATAAAGGGTTAAACTTTTAATGGAATGAATAAACATGGCCAAAAGTTTCAGGGTGCAAAGTTCTCTGAAGAATTAACTATGCATACAAAAAGCAATTCCCATTAAACATTAAAAGGGAATCAGGCATGTTTTACACCTTCCCCAAAAGCAGCTTAAACATTATCCTACAAATAGAAGATCTAATTAGGGAAAGCACGGGAAATGCTACACTTTCAAAAGGCTGGGACATCTAAAAGAGATGGTATCTGCGTGTTTGTAACTGTACGTTTCCTTATACACTTAAACTCCTCCCTAGCAATCAATGAAAACCACCATGCAGAAGCAGATGGTGATTATTTAATCAAAGCATGATTACTGACGATGCTGATGCATGACAAATGAAGGGAAAAAAAGAAATACAAGCTTACCTTGATTGGCTTAGCATCAGGTCGTTCATATAGGTTGGGCTCATAAAGCCGTGTGGCTGGCTTCTGCTGCCCTACTGTCACTGTTCCATGTACAAAAGAAGAAAACTAGGCTTAACAAATCTTCAGAGAATTGTTAGCACATAGAGAAAAATAATTTGAAGTAAGTCCATAAACAACTAAGTTGTACCAAAGTTGGACAAATCATTTCAATGTCCCATCCAGGAGCTTAACAATATACAAATAAATAGATTTTATATCCATATGCAAAAATGGTTTAAACATAAAAAGCATGCAATAAAACTGGAAGTGGTAGGTATTGAAGCAATGTCTCTAAAGACTTCGAATGAAGCATTTTTAATATTTCACTTCAAATATACTGAAACTAACCTAATCAAACAGAGAACCAGAAGTCCAAATCAAGAAAGAAAAGGCAGCAATAGAAACCCAAGGAGAAGGAAATAAGAGGGGCAAAAAGACCCACATTCACATACTCAATCTTTGCACACCAAACAGAAGTCACAAAAAGGTATCATTTGAGCTTCTTAAAATAAACTTTTTACATTTCAAAAGCCCTTTGAGTCATTCACTCCAAACACACTGCGTCCAGTAACAAGTTATCAATATCTTCATTATCATGTTGTGCTTGCTAGAAATCAACCTATGAAATCAAGGTCTAAGACGTTTGTCCAACTTGAATTGGCCGCTTCAATAATAGATGAAGCACCAGCACCAGCACCAGCACCAGAAAAATTAGTTTTGAAATTTCAAGTATCAATCTTTTTGCTAATCTAGCCATTTCCCTTGATCATTGCTCTGATAGATCATCTTTCATCATCTAACTAGTAACCGGTGTTAACATTGACTCTTATATTTCCCCAACAATACTCATGTCCACAAAATATGACAAGGATAAGGGTGTGGGATATGTATCCGACACCCATATCTAATTTCTATACTTGGATTGGATCCAATAATTTTATATTATGTTTAAAAAAACTAAGAAACTCATATTTGCAAGTAAAAAAATATTTCTTGTCTCTTACATAGATTAAAATATATATATATATTTTTTTTTTTTTTTCCCTAAATGCTATTTAAATTCAAACAAATTTCTAAATAATATACATCATCTTATCTAAGAATATTAAAAAAATATACAATATATAAGGTAAATTATAGTAAACCTCCTTCAACTACAACTCATTTGCACTTTGCCTCCCTAAACATCAAAACTCAGCAGTTAACCCACTGCATAGTATTACCTTGTTACACTAACAACTTATGTTAGGATTCTATTAGGGATTTAAACGGAATCAGGTCATGTGTACCCTTATCTAGTGATCTCATTTGCACTTTGCCTCCTTTATCTTAGTGGCAAAGTGCAAATAGAATCACCAGATAAAGGAATTATTATCCTAAAAATTCAATAAGTGTATCATGTGCTTAACACACAACCTGATTTTGTGTAGACCAATCATAAAGCTTTAAAACCTAAGAAGCACGGACACTTCTAAGAAGGTGGCGTATTCGTGTCGTATCCGTGTCGGACACCGATACTCTTTGGACACTCTCAGGACATGTGTCCAACACTCTTCAAAACGTGTCCTATTTTTTAAATTTTTTTAAAGACTTGAACACTCTTTGGACACTTAAAAGACATACGTGTCCATCGCTTAAATACAAGTGTCTAACGATTAAACATATGTGAAATTAATTATAAGTTTGAACAAAACAACTTAAGATACAATAATAAAACAAAAACTATATAAATTTGTAGGAATTAGTATCATATTGTATTTTTTATTATCTTTTTAATGATATATTCATATATATAACATATAATAAATATATAAAATTACATATTTCATGCGTGTCCCTCACGTTTCGTGTCCTACATTTTTTGAAAATTAACGTGTCAGCGTATCCGTGTCGTACTCGTGTCGTGTCACGTGTCCGTGTCCATGCTTCTTAGTTTAAAACAAAGAGCAACATATCCTTCATAGTAGACCAATAATTACAAAATTAAAAATTCCCTTCCTTGCAACTTGCAAGTGCTCCTTAGAAATAGCAATTTGCTAAGGTTGGCTAGTCCCCTACTTAAATACATCCCAAAAAAGTTTGGCTTGTGAAAATAGCCATTACAATTTGTACTCCTTGGTGAAAGCCTTTTGACCTAATGCATTGTTTATCATTTAAAATACTATATCATCAACTTACCCGCCTAACTCTTTAATATGTTGGTCATAGCATTCCACATATCCACACATAATGCTTGCATATTACATATCCCACCTCTCAAACAATCCAAATTGATAAAGTTCGTTTTTCACAATAGATTGAGTAACATAAAAAATTGTTAACCCATCCACAAACATCCTTTAAATCCATTAAGTTCATTTCTCGAATCCATCCAATATTGTTGCATAATGGCTCCCTCCATCATTGTTTAACCGAATTAAATAATACACAAACTATGATATAAAAATAAAAATAAAAAGTTCTGGTGAAACCATTCTAGAAATAAAAATAAAAACACAAGATCTTAATGCAATATCAATGACAAAAGTCCTGCATTACACTACCAATATCTTAATGCTCTTATTCTAATCAACAAAAGTTACATCGAATTAGGCAATATTTGTACATCATACCAGGAATAAAAAAGAAATCATAATTAAAATCAACTGATAAAATTAGTCATCAAACATAGCAGATTCACCATGATGCTGGAAGACTACACGAGTTGAGACAACTTAAGAAGGCATAAAAGGATCAGACTTACCAATGGGGGCGCCAAATGCACCCGGTGGCAAGGGATCAAACTCCATTCCGAGTATCGGCCCATCTTCCCTCAATGGCTCCCCTAACTGTGCCTCCACAAAAGCAATTGCTCGAAGCTCTGATATTGCCTGAGGCGGCTCATAGTACCTCTTCATGGCAGGCATGTCAGCTGCAATCCTCGGAATAGCAGCTCCAGTTCGCGGAACAACTCGCTGGTGGTGCTGCGGGTGCGGCTGCTGATGGGTCTCGACATGTCGAAAAGGACTCGACCCAGAACCTGACCCAGAAACATGCTCATTACCCACCTCACCTACCACCATCTCGTCCCCAACTCCACTCGAAGACGCCACCACCGCCGCCGGCGAAGCGTCCTTCCTCGGGCGCTTCACCGGCGGCGTTTTCCTATCCTTCAATCTCCTGTGACAAAACCACATCTGCAACTGCCGATCCGAAAGCCCTAACTTCACCGACAGCTCTGCTCTCAACGCTTCCGATGGATACGTCTCCGCTGCACCAAATCCAAATTCACACTCAATCAAACTACAAAATCATACAAAAAAATTATATTAAAAAGAAAAACGAAAGAATCGCACCAGCATAAGTTTTCTCCAGAATCTCCAACTGAGAAGCAGTCTTCATCTTCCGCTTCACCTTGTTCTCTCCAGACTCCGGCGGCTTCTTCTTCTCCCCATCCGAACCACCACCACCACCTCCCTCCATTGCAGAAACCCAACACTCTTTGTCGCCCTTCTCTCTCTACAATTTCTCTCTCCAGAAACTAGGGTTCGGAAGATCAAATTCTACAAAGCAGCCCCCATTTGCGCAGATCAATTCCATCAAAAACTAGGGCATCGAGATTTGGGAATCGATTTCAGACTATTTGGTATTGACGAAGAAAGAAAGGAAAGAATACGAATTCCTCTCAACTCTTTTTTTTTTTTTAAACTTTCTCTCTCTAAAAGTCTTTTACACACTTGTTTTGGTTTGGTTGCTTGCTTGCACTTTCTCTCTCTCTATCTCTATCTCTATACAAATAATAATCTCTTCGATCCTCTCTTCCTACATCAAAGAAAACTGTGATGGAGATGTGCGGTGAGATTTGGAGAATCACGATAATAAATACTAAATGAAATGAATAATTATTAAACCAAAAAGAACAAGTCGAAGAAAATAGAGATTGGAATTTTTGATTTAAAGAGAAACATCGAACAAGCGAACGAACAGTCTTTCTCTCTCTAATCCTTCCCATTCTCTCTCTCTCTCTTTTTTAATTTTTTCTTTTTTTTCTTTTGTTTGTTTGTTTTTTTGTTTTTTTTTTGTTTATCGAAAACGTAACGCGTAGAATTTGTATATGTATGCGAGTGTGTGTTTAATTTGTATAAGTATAGAGAGATAGAGAGAGGGGGATTGGGGCAATAAACTAGAGTTGTTTTAAAAGGAGGTTAGAATTGTCAGATGTGCTTTGAAATCGATCGATTTGATTCACGAATTCGTATGTGAACCTTTGTGTGCCGAGTTTCTTCTTTCTCTCTCTATTTCTATCTTGCCTTCTTTCTCTCTCTATATTCACTTGGATTTAGTTTTTTTGTTTTCTTTTTTTTTTATTTTTGTTTGTTGAGATGTTCTTCTATATGTTCTATCTGGTACGGCGATGGGCTTGACGCTTCCCACACTGTCGTGAGAAAGATATTCCCACCTGCACCATAGGGCGCGTGGCACCACTCGATAGATCCATCCACATCATTGTTGTAAGGCCAAGTTTAGCATTCCGAAAAAAAATTCAATAAGTGAAAAAGTCACTATTTGGTAACAGGCTAATTTAGTAACTTTTTGCTATTTGGCTAAAAATTCAATAAGTGAAAAAATTCAATAAGTGAAAAAAATTCAGGCCTCGTTTGGGAACAGACTAATTTAGTAACTTTTTGACTATTTGGTTAAAAAGGTAGGTAAAAAAAATTTGTATGTTTGGGATGACTTTTTGGCTAATTACGAAAAGATGTGCAAAAAGTAGAGAGAAAAAAGAATCTTTGACTTTTTGGTATGAGTTGTTGGCTTTTTAGCTAAGGCCTCGTTTGGGAACAGACTAATTTAGTAACTTTTTGCTATTTGGCTAAAAAGGTAGGTAAAAAAAACTTGTATGTTTGGGATGACTTTTTGGCTAATTACGAAAAGATGTGCAAAAAGTAGAGAGAAAAGAGAATCTTTGACTTTTTGGTATGGGTTGTTAGCTTTTTGGCTAATTTAGTAACTTTTTGGTTAATTGACTAAAATAGCTTCTTGCCAAACGAGGCCTTAGTAACTTTTTAGCTAATTGGCTAAAAAAGTAAGTCCCCAAACGGGGCCTCAATAAGTGAAAAAGTCACTATCTTATTTAGGTCACATCATTTTATTTACGTCATATTATTTATTTATCACATCATTTTAAATTCAACTTATACTCAACGCATATTTCATAAAAAGTCAAAAAATACACTTATTTAAGACACTCTAAACAACCCCTAACTCCGATTTACACTTTAAATACTATTCTTCTTTTAATACTTTTTAGTCCTTGAAAAAAAAAAATTATTGGACATTATCCCCTCATATCTAACTTTCTCCGCTTTGATCCAATCATTAAAAATCGTGACAATTGAAGGAGGACATTTTGGTATTTAAAAAGTCAGTCCCGTTTTAAACCACTAAATTGAAAGTTTTAAAAGAATTACTAATAAGGTGTCAGCGTAAAAAAATAAAAAATAAAGACCAAACTATAGCATCAGTGTTGGGATTCACATAATACCACATCATTAGTGATATATTAGTAATACTAAATTAATAGTATGAAACATTTTTCTTAAAAAGTAAAGTCAATAAATTTACTTATAAGCCACTTGCTAAAAGAAGTTTAAATTAAATCCAAATCTCAACTCAAGTCAATTTTAACTTAAGACTCATTTGGAAATTGACTTTTTTAATGACTTTTTATAAAATAAAAAAAAATACAAAAAATATGAATAATGATTTAATAACTTTTAGTGACTTTTTTAGTAAAATGTTTAGTTTCCAAACATCCCCTTAAATTCATTCAAATCTCTTATTTCCCATCTATTTATTTTCTTTTATTAAACATAAAAGCTGAACTATAGGCATTTGGTCCTGTTTGGTAGAGTTATGAAAAAGTGCTTATAGCTTATGCCTTAACAACTTATAGCTTATAACTATGAATATAAGCTGATTTCTGACTTATAAATTAAGCATCTCCTGCCCCACTCAAAGAATAAGCTGATTTATGACTTACAAAAAGCCATAAACTGCATTGTTAAGTTAAACCAAACACATCAAAATAACTTAAATTAAGTTGAAAGCTGAAATAAGCAGCTTTTAAGCTGCACCAAACAGGCACTTTACCACCTTTCTTCTATATTGCTGCTATCATACTCTGGGGTAGGGTTGCAAATGAACCGAGCTGTTCGTGAACAAGCTCGGCTCAGCTCGTTAAGAGAGCTCGAATATTAGGCTCATTTATTTTATTTAAATAATATAAATAATATTAAAAAAAATTATCGAGCCGAGTCGAGCCGAGCTCAAGTTTTATTAAAATTAACGAGCCGAGCCAAGCTCGAGCCCAGTTCCTTATCGAGCCGAGCTCGAGCTCAATAAACGAGCTCGATAAGTAAACGAGCCGAGCTCAGCTCGGCTCGGTTCGTTTGCAGCCCTACTCTGGGGTTATTTGGGATGGTCTAAATAAGTACAATTTTTTACTTTTTATGAAATATAGGTTAGGTTTGGATTGGGTTTGAAGTGATGTGTTAGAGCGGTGATGTGACTTAAATAAGATGATGTGACTTAAATAGGATAGTGATTTTTTTGACTTTTTGACTTTTTTTAAACATGTCAAACCAACCCTCTATCTATGCCACATAATAGGAGTAATATTATAATTCAACAGTGCTAAAGGCCTTGAATTTGGCTCGAATACCCTTTTTCTTTCTTTCTTTTTTTTTCTTGCTATGTTAGTTGGTTTTTTTTATTTTTTATTTTTTTTAAGAGTGAGTTAAAATGTCTAATATAAAATATTAGACATTTCGCACTTACTTATCGTATAAAATTATATGAAATTAACAAAATTTAACTAATAGCTCAACTGATCAGTCAATTTTATCACTTAACCAGTCCAACTTAATTGACTGATCAGTTAGACTGTTGATTAAAATTCGTTAATTCCATATAATTTTGTACGATGAGTTGATGCAGAATGTCTAGTTTTTTGGCACACCCCTACACATAACCGCCTTTTTTTAAAAAAAAAGCCTAACAAATAAAATTAAATTAAATTAAAAAAATTAATCAGTCAATTTTATCACTCAATCAGTCCAACCCAACTTACTTGCAGAATGTCTAATTTTTTAGCACACCCCAATACATAACTACCCTTGCAAAAAGAAAAGAAAAGAAAAGAAAAGAGAGGAAAAATAAAAAATAAATAAATAAACCAAACTAACACAGCTTTAGGACAAAAAAAAAAAAAAAAAAAAAAAAAAAAAAATCGAATTCGAGGCAAATTGGAGCCTCAAGCATTAATCATTATCATAATAATATTCGAGTACTATGGTTCTTAAGGTTGGAGTTCTAGCATAGAGCAATTTTTGTATGGATGTAGGGTATTAACTAATTTGTACCCAATTCCAACTTGATTTAATTATATAATGTAATTTATCATAGTTATGTTGTTGTTTTGATTAACATTATGAGATGGTAACTTTATTTAATTATATTATGCGATTCGTCATGTTTATGTTGATATTTTGTCTAATATTATAAAAATAATAATTGATAAGTGATATGTGATACCACATAACAATAATACATAATATGTCTTAGAGTAATTTTAATCATACTTTTCATCTTTCATTAGCTAAAATACAAAAAATAAATTTTTTTTTATTTTACTTAATTTTTTTTTTCAATGTACTTTATACTCTTTATCTTAGGCCAAGTTTGGCAATACTAAAATAATTTATCTTTTTATCTTTTTTTCATCACATCACATCTCTACTTTTCTGCACATATTTTCGTAAAAAGACAAAAAATATACTTATTTAGGTCATCCCAAACAACCCATTACTTATCTATACACATAAATGGTTTAAAGTCTAAGGGGTTGTTTGAAATGACCTAAATAAGTATACTTTTTATCTTTTTACGAAAATATGTGTAGAAAAGTAGAGAGGTGATATGATGAAAAAAAATAAAAAGATGAATTATTTGAGACTTCCCAAACTTGGCCTAAGTATTTTTCATATATATAATAATATATAATGTAAAGGAAAAAAATCAGCTTCTTCTCCATTGGTCGAGGCTTGTAAGGCTTCGTTTGGGAACCAGCTTGTTTAGTTAAAAAGTCAAAAAATTATTAAAAAAGTTAAAAAGCCAATAACTCATACAAAAAAGTCAAAGATTCTCTTTTCTCTCTACTTTTTACATATTTTTTTGTAAAAAGTTAAAAAATCATCCTAAACATATTAATTTTTTTAGCTTATATTTTAATCAAATAATAAAAAAATTACTAAATTAACATGTTTCCAAACGAGGCGTGAGGTGAAGGTTAGATCTGGCTGCAACGCACTCAAATGGCGATTGGAGTTGGAACAAAAAGCATTTTCACATAAAATTAGTTTGGTGGGGACCACTTCTCATTTACTAAAGGAAACAAATTTCTCTCAAAGGTTAAAGATTATTTAGAACAGGGCACTTGAGTTAGAATTATTAATTGTTTTGATTCTTCCGATTGGTAACTAATCACTAATTTTTAGTACTGCCAACTGGGTCAACTTTGTTCCAATGCAGACCAAGAAAAGACTTTTTCTTTTTCTATTTATTTTTGTTTTGCAAATGGCGTATTCTAACTTCTATTATAAGTTTATTTATTAATAATAAGTTTGATTTAGACAATCTTTTTTTATCAATCCATACATACCATGTTCCAACCCATTGTTTAATTAGTTGGGCACTGGGCAATTCATAATAATTGTCAAGTAAAAATATGTATCAATGCCCCTAAACTCGGCGTGTTAAGGAGTTAATGATAGTTTGTAGAGGCACATTAAGGCAACAAGAATAATAAGGTCAGATTATATGCACTTGAGTACATATTCACCATGTAATAAATATGGAGTGATGATAGGACATAAGTGTTGATAATTAAAATTTTGGGAAAACTACAACTAATTTCATTTAATTTTGTTTTTATTATTTATTCAAATTTGAATTTAAAATTAAGATATTTACCAATAAATTTCATATCACAAACAAATATTCTAATTAGTTTCAAGTTTTTTCTATTGATGTGTTAAGTTTTATTAGTGGAGATTTTCTTTCCGTGTGGTCCTATTTTTTATTTTGGTAGTATTTTGGTGGACAGCTATACCATTTTATTAATGTGACAGGTATGATGTAATAGTCCAATGTGACAGGTATTAATGTGATACTCCAACGATGTGACATTCCAAAAAAATTAAAAACTCCTTAGTATGTTTTTCCTTAATGTGACGACGTGATGAGTATGATGT